TGTGTGTGTGTGTGTGTGTGTGTGTATATACTTCCGTTTAAGCCAATTAATTTGTAAAGCACACCAATCTCGCACTTGAACGAGAATTAAAGTCGCTCCGTCCGATCCTCGAAATATAGGTCAAACGCGAAGGCACGCAAAGAGGAGGGCCGTGATCGACTAAGCATGCACACCGATTGCCGGAGTACAACGTTAAAGTACCAAACGATGCCTCCTCGTGATGTCGTCGCCCGTATCAAATGCCTCGTTCGACCAAATCGTCCTTGCGTCCTTTTGTGCCGGAGTTCTCTCGTTAACTTCGCGACGATAAAAAATGCTCGTTGACGCCTGCTTTACTCTCGAAACACTTTCCCATTTCTCACTCTCCTCTCCCTTCCGTATCCCATCCCCTTACCTCTCCCACTCTCCCCTCCTCACTACCCCCTTCACCCATTACAACCCTCCAACCAATGGCATTATCGCTCGACGAATTCATTGACTCGGCATTTACGATAATTGCTCCTAGCCGATTCGCTTTTATTAACGATGCGCGGCGATGTTTACGGCGGCTAATACACAGCACGGTGAGGAGACTGTCACAAGGGGGAACAAGGAAAGCCGAGCGTTCCGTCAAACGCGAAAAAGCACTGGGTTTGTACTATCATCTCATGCTTCTAGTTCAAGCCAGAGAATGACGTTCCCGGAGGTGAACGTACCTCGCGTTCGAACGGCCGAGCGAAGAAATCATAAAAACGTCATCGCGGATGGCTGAACGAAAAGCTCGGCGGAGCGCGTCGATAAAATAAAAGAGAGAGAGAGAGAGAGAGAGAGAGAGAGAGAGAGAGAGATAGAGAGAGAGAGAGAACGACAGCACGAGCTACCGACTCGTCAAAGCTCATCGCGTCGGAATTTCCTTTCTTTTTTATTCGAGGTGCTAATTACCTTGGACAGTGTACGTGCGATACGTATACGTCCTTGCGAAGCTCGAAACTGAAATTCTAAGCCAAGCAGAATCCAGGCGTTAAAGGTATTATATCGTTGCTGGTATTTATGAGTTTTGGGAGACGAAATTTCATTTTTTTTTTTCTTCTTTACCACGCGAAATGTTTATGAATTATGCCTTAATATTCCTTGCGAGATCCAGAAGGACTTGTTGAAAATTTTCATTTACAGTTTCAAAGTGTCTCCTGACACTGAACACTGAACACCATCATATCGGCTTACTATACAATAACTTTATTATTATATCGCAATTATAAACATTCATTAAAGCTTCGAGACGGGCTTTTTTTTATTTTACCTCTATGTTTTTAAACGTATTTACTTACTGTATTGTACGAATGACTTAATTAACAAATTTAAATAACACTCGAATTATTTATTTTAATAAGGATTGTATTTTATGTTTATTAGTTTATTACAAAGCTCGATCGATTAGTATTTAAAACTCTCTCATTCTTTCTCTCATCCGATATTATAACGCAATTTTTTATTGTCAATATATATATATATATATATAAATGTGTCAAGATTAAAAATCTAAATGTTGCAAAAGTTTAAGTTCGGCAAAGGTGGATTTGTCGTAATTATAGTATTATAAAAACGAGAAATGAAAATTAAATAAAACGAGAGTGGAAAAGTATTAAAATTTGCACAATTAAATTATTCTTATCCATATAATTTTTTTATTTTATTTTAATTGCAATAATAGTGGGTTTCTTGTTAAAAAAAAAAAAAAACACAATGGTGAAATTTGTGTTTTAATAATTTATGCAAAAACCATTTTTATGCACATAAATAGTTTATTTCTATTGCAGATCAAAGATGATGTATCATCTTACCTTGTCATGAGTTATTAAAAAGAACGATTAATCGATTGTTTGGCTTTGCATAATTCTTCCATCAATTCCAAGGGAAATCGGGGGAAATCGGACGTTCGATTTAGTGCAATTTTAGCGCAATTTATATATTTTTTAATTGCCTTGTGCTGGTTAAATATTTGTCTTATATCTGGATTAGTGCGATCATTCTTGAAAAGTTTCATCCTTTTCACAATATAATTGAAAATATGCGTGCCACTGATTTAAAAAAAAAAAAAAAAAAACAAAAGACAATCGAATAAAACAAGTATTCTTTAAAAGTAGCAGAATAATTTATCCATGGACGATCTCCTTTTTTATTCACATTTGACTTAAATGTGCAGCTTTCGGTAAGACAGTTCGGCCATTCTTTTGTACGTAACGAGCGAATGGTATTTTATTTCATTATCTAATAAAGAGATCGAGGAAAAATTGTTATACTCATCAAGACAAGGACAATTCATATTAAATATCAGAATGAAATAAAAATAGGGCTATTTTAGGCTAGAAATGTCTCGATTGTAATGAGAAATATTTGTATAAGAGAGGCCGGCAGTAATATAAGGCTGTATTAGTGAAAGGAATTTTAATGCAAATGCCTCGCAAGCAAACTTTGTAACGGAAGACTAAATGTATGGAAACCCGATAGGCATCGTCGCCTAGATAGGTAAATTAAAGGAATCTTATAAGATTTCGGCATTTTAACCAATCCAATATAAGAGATTATTTTTACTTGTTGAGACATAAATTTTTCAATTAAGATATCGAATAATATCGAGGTGAAATAATGTTTAGGTGCAGGGGAATTAATCGAGAGCTCCGTAAATGAATGATAGAATGAAAATCTTGTGGATAATTTTCAACGATAAATTACAAATAGCGTGACGCTACGTGAAACGTGCAACGTTCGTTAAACGAAAAATAATAAAGCTCTGATTATTAAAGGTTTAATTGGCGGTGCTTCCACTAATAAGGCATTACAAAAGATTTTATTTCGCAGTAATCCGTGAGGTCGCGCAGTATGCAAATATATTTCTTCGTACATCTTTCTCGCCAAACATTTCTCCAAAAGTCTTTTCAACGCGCACTCTGCCCTTTAAACGCCTTTCCCAAGATACAGACGCGCATGTAGTTGCATTAACGAACGTGTTCATGGTCGCGACTATTACATTTAATATGCCGGCCTCCTTTTTATTTTTTACTCGAGCGCATACGCGCAATATAACACGAGGATCATTAATTTTCAATTCAAAAGCCGCGAGCTCAAGCTTCGCCCGCTCGGTATAAATGAAAACCGCGCGGAATAATAGGCGTCGAAGGCGGGGGTCGCCTCCAAGTGTTTTGCAATGCGACGTATCTGGGGTCTCGGCCGAGGGTTTGGGAGGGACAGGAGTCGAATAAAGATGCTTGGAGCTAACGTTGGATCGACTGTTGAGTGGAGCGACGAAAACGTGCGGTTTGAATGAGGAGGAGGAGGAGGAGGAGGAGGTAGAGGAGGAGGACGAGGAGGCTTGGAGATTT